TATTTGTTTTCCATTTGTTGTTGCCATTCTGTAAAACACGAGGTTAAGGTGGTGTTGAAGTTTCACCAGGGGGTACAGGAGCAGAGCAGTATCTGTATTAACAGGTCTCTAGTTCAGACCGGTGGGAGAGCTTACAGGCTGCAGTGATACACCAACGATGAGCAGCTATTTATGGAGGGATGGGTGGTAATCAGCTCAGGAGCTCAGGAGCTGAGCCCAGCAAGGCCTGGGGCACACACACGTGTACTCACACACATGAGCACTCCTACGCACACATTTATTCACACTTGTGCACATTCCTGAATGCACATTCACATACACATGTGTGCATTCTCACACACACACACGAACACTCCAACATACACATTTCCTCACACACATGCACACTGACATACGCTAACACACACGTACACGCTCACACACACTCCCTCCCAGGGAGAATCCCAGGGAGCCAGGGAGAATCCGTGTAATTCAGAAAAACACTGAACAATCCCAGCAGGCCCTCCGGCGGGACAGACAGAGCCTGAAAGTGCCTCAGGCAGAGATGGAGTCCATCTCGAGCCTTTCATTTCAGAGAGAGCCCTGCATTACAGTTTCACGTATTGGAAATCTCTGTGGTTCTGTAGCTGTTTCTTCAATATATTTTCCAGCAACACGCTGACTCTCTTCAGGCACAGCTACAGTGATGGGGCTGTGCCAAGCACTCTGTGTCCTGTCCAATCGGTTTGACTGTGAACAAACATTGTAATCCAGGATGCTTGAAGAAGTACTTCTATTTCTAATGCACAGTGATATAAGAGGGTTCTAACAGCACTTAATTATCCATATACAATTTCTTGTATTAGGAATTTGTCTTTTCACATACCCCAGCTTGCTCTCCATGAGACACACAGACAGGGAGAGAAGCTGGGGGTCAGAGCGCAGGGTCAGCTATTGTACAGCACCCCTGGAGCAGCTGGGGTGAAGGGCCTTGCTCAGGGGCCCAACAGAGTAGGATTCGAACCGGCAACCTTCCAGCCACAGGCACAGATCCTGAGGCACAGAGCCACCCCTCCGCCCCATGATCCCAGTTTTATATAATGCGCAGAAAACCAAACCGACGACGTGTTTCGCTTCGAGTGAATACACCTCCTGCCCCGCACGGCTCCCGGTCACACTGGGGCGCGGAAGATCTGCCCCCAGCCCGTGCCGGCGAGATGGCAGTGTCCTGCTGGGAATGCGGGGCTCTCATTTCTAGCCGGTCTCAGAGCTGTTTACTCCGAGATGATTGTCGTAAAGAACAATAAAAGGTCCTGAGTTCCCAGAATCTGCTGGGACGTGATTCCAATTATGTGGTTTGGAGATACAATCAGTCTCTCTGTTGTGCGACACGCCCTGCCTCACTTCCTCCCCCGTCCGCCCCTCGGACTCTCCCCCCCTCTCCCTCTCCCTCTCCCTCTCTCTCCGGCTCTCCTCTCTCCTTCCCGCAGGACGGGCTCTGACCTGTCCAGATGGGATCTCTCCGTCTCCCTGCCCCCGGAGAGGGGGCAAAAACGCGCAGGAGGCAGAGCAGTCGTACGCACCTGTACGCTAGTGACCACCTCCGCAAGCAATTCCTTTCAATTAGCCTGGAAGCAGGGAAGGAGCCAGTCTTCGTCTTAGCGTTCCAAATGATCTCTAAACCAATTAACTCATCACCTAATGAGGTAGACAGAAACTACCTTCGGGTCTGATTGTCTAACGGCGACTGATCAGGCCTGCTGGGACCGGGGCTGCCCTGGACGGGAACTGGACAGATCGGTTCAAAGGCTGGTCGCTCCGGTGACCACAGTGACCACAGTGTCCACTGGCGTCGTGGCGGCTGGACCCCCGGGTGTCCACCTGAACGTATACAGGTGACGGTTGGGCGAACGGTTGAGCGCTCCTGGACAGTGAAGTGTGAAACCCCCTGCAGCACACTTCTGCCACGGCTAATCTGCGCAGCGTTTGATGAAGTCATCAAGATCTCGGCCTGAGAGGAGAGAGATCATCAGGGCCCGGTGGGGCTGGACCGGGCTCAGAACACCCCTGTCGGAGAGCTGCCTGGTCCCGGACAGAGCTGTGGGGACTCGGGACAGGATGTTGCCGTGGTCAGAGATCACAGGACCCCGCCTGCTCCTTCGTGCCCCTTTCTGCTGGAGAGCCTGGCGACCCCTGGGTCTCGTCCCGCCCTGTGGTGAGGGACACCAGGGCGTGGACTTCGAGCACACGGCTGGGCAGCTTGTTCCAGACTCCCACCCCGTCAACCCCAAACAAGCTTTTCCAGTGTCACTCCACTCCCGGTTCTCCCAGTCCCCCTGTGTGCTGGGATCCCTCGTCCTGTAACTGGCCCCTGGACTGGTTTTGTAAGTGACCTATTAGAACTGTTGTCTGCACTTAACAGCACTTCCAGAGCTCTTTATGAAGGGGGGGGGGGGTCTCATTTCATCCCCCGGGGAAGTGCAGCCCCTCCTGTGTGACACAGCTGCCCCCCTGCACAGCGGATCGGGGGGAGGAGAGAGACCCTGCTGCTCCAGGTGGATACAGGAGCTGCTGTAGAGATCCCAGACTGCCCAGCCCAGAGGGGACTACAGCCAGGGCACTGGGTTTATGGGTACCCTGTTCTCATGGGTACAGGGGACCCCGTAGTGAGGACCCCAGTTTCACATCTCATCACAGCGCAGTGGCCCTGGTCTCCCTACTGGCGCACCAGCCTGGACGTGCTGGTCCAGAGAGCAGAGCGCCCCCCTGCTGGTCCACCAGCACCATTTACAGCAGCGACCTGGTTATCCCCAGAGCCAGGCGCCCGGCCAGGACTGACCTCCGGTCCGCTGAGGCTCCTGAGGGGCTGACCAGCTCAGGCTCCGGGGGGATGAGACTGCGGTGAGGAGGTCACATCCACCACCAGAACCACCAGACTGATCCGTGTCCGCCTCACAAATCAATGTGCCGTTAATTGCAGGTGTGCTGTTTGAACGGAGACGCGCTAGCCTGGGCCAGAGTGCCGGGAGCCGCCGGGTCGGTCCGGGCCAGACGTTTTCTGCTCGTGCTGCTCTTTGGGCAGCCGAACACGACCGAACCGGCCCGGTCCGGCCCGGTCCCGAATCCCTTCCCCCGGGGCGCGTCGGCGAGTGCCGGATCCGCGGGCTCATTCGGACCCCTGCACGTCGCGCCCCCCCCCCCGCCGACTCCGAGCTCCCTCTCGCGATGTCCCCGCCCCGCGGGACTTGGCCGCGCCGCCTGCGCTCCGCGCGCTGCGGCCAGTAGGATTCGGTCAGCGGGAGGGAGCGGAGCTCGAGGCTCCGGGAGAAGACGGCAGGAGAAACAGCCGCCCAAATTAACCAGCGGCGGGGCGACTGAGCGCGTCACAGGCTACCTCGCCCGGAACAGCGGCGCAGCCCCCGGGACCGGAGCAAAGGCGTGGTCGCCGGCTAGTTCGAGGGTGTTTTTGGGGTGTTCCTTCGTTGTTTTCCCCCGTGTTTGTCACGGAGGGAGGAGGTGGAAACGCACCGCCGCCATCTTTGGGACTGACTGTAGGAGAGCGCAGCGCCTGGGCCGAGGCTGAGGTCGGGGAGGAGTTTGTTCTCAATCAGCGACAATAACACCTTGTTTTCACAGCAAACACATCGACAACAACGGCAGCTGGGGCCCCGGGAGGAGGAAAAGGGAAAACCGAAACGCCGAGAGCCCGTTTCTCCTCCTCCTCCCTTCCCCCCCGCGGTCTGCCCGAGCCCTTTCCCTTGGATACGGGACTCGCTTCTCTTCCTTGTAAACCTGCTCTTTCGGACGGGTAAGTGGGTCGCTTTCCGTTTCACTAGGGCTGTCGGCGGGTGTGCCTCCTGGGCAGGCGGGACCGGTGCGTGTCACCTTGTGCGGGCCGGGCAGTGCGGGGCGGCCGGCTGGCCCGGGGTCCGTGTCGCCCCTGTCCGGCTGCTCTCGGCCTCCGCCTCTGCCCGGCGGCTGCGGCTGCAGGCGTGTACGCGCGTCCCCGGCCCCTCTCATCGATTCGCCTGTGCGGTTATTTATTGCCGCCTTTCCCCGGTCTTGTGCGGGGAGAGCGAACACGTTAAAGTAAGACCCCCCCCCTTTAAGGCCACCCTCTCTACCGCCTAAAAAAAAGTCTCTCGGGGGGGATGTTCTTGGACAGTAGACAGCAGAAGGACGTTTAAATTTTGTGTATATCGATGTGCCTTGTGCCGTTTGATAGCGACATCCACGTTCATGCCGTACCAGGCTGGGAAATTGCTGAGCACCCCCCCTCCCCCCACCGCTGTCGTCACCCCCTCTCCTGCCACCCCAACAGACACACACCCGATCCCCGTGTTTTCCGCCGAGCGCATCACGGGCGTGCGCCTCTCCTCCCGGGGTCTTGCGTGAAGTTTCTAGACCTGGAGACCCGGGGACGCCAGGCACTGAGGGGTGGTGACAGCGATCGCCCCCCCCCCCAGACAGCACCGTGTTTCCAAAACAAGGTGCACCCCTCGTTTGGGGCTGGCAGCCCGTGTTCGCTCCCCCCCACCACCACCCGCCGCCATTCCCGGCTTCCATGTGGCGATTTCGCGCTACCAGGAGTGTCTGGGTCTGGGAAGACGTCATGTATTGATAGACCAGCTGTAGCGTGTGCGGGTCCGGTGCGAAAAGCGGAAAATCGATTGAGGATCCTGCCTTCCAAATCACCTGGTGTATGACAGCTGCACAATGACATAGTTCAGTAGTTCAGCCATGTCGCCGGCCTTCTGACACAGTGCCAGTGATCGTACTGTCTGCTGGTGATGTTTAGACCATGTCTTGGGGGGGTAGTGGGACTCGAGTTATCTGTGTCTCAGCTGTGGGAACTGGACTGCTCAGGGCTCAAACATCTTTTCTTCCCAAAAGCATGGAGAAAGAAAAGCCACAAAGTGTACTGGATTTTGTAGAGATGTGGAATTAAAACTAGAGTAGCCCAGCTGGTCTCAGGCCACTGATGTAAGTGGGGTGTAAGAAATGGAAGATGTTAGCTCTTAAAGGCACAAAGTCAGGGGCGAGCCAGGATTTGCTGGTGTATAATATGAGCGCTGCACTTTCTGTGCTTCAGATTATGCCTGGACCCTGCTGGATAAAAGGAGTAACTGAATTCAATAGGGATTTCTCTGGTAGAGCACAGTTCATCTTCTGCCATTGTGTCCTATGACCCTCTCACAGCTCTTACTAGTCATTTGCTTCTGAATGCCTGGGCTCCATTGTGTTTGTACTTTTAGCTCTGTCACCACAGGGCACTGCTCTCTGTCAGTCCCCACGTTCCTGTCTCGCAGGAATTTATCATGGTGGTTTGGAAGAAGCCATAGTAAAGCAAGCACTGGCCTCACAGAGAAGCAGCTCAGCAGAGAACAGACCAGGGCTGTGTGGTTCTTGCTCGTCTGTCCCTGGAGAAGGACTTTCCTGGCTGAGAAGTGTGTTCCTCCCACAGTCTCTTGGTCAGCAGGTCCTGTAACCTAAAAGCAAAGCCAGTCACTGTATTCAATCACCCATAGTGGTTGGTGAATTTAAATCAAGTGCTGCTGTGTTAAAATGGTGCGGTGTCCTATTGTACTGATTCCCTAAGTCCTAATTTAGAATATGTGGTTACCACACCATAACGTGCTGCTGTTCTGGAGTCAGTACAGCGAAGCGCAGCCAGACGCGGTCCCAGGATTAAAAGAAAGTCCCAAGCTGTCAGTCTGCAGGAACTGACCCTCTTTAGTCTTGAGCAGAGAAGATCCTCAAAGGTACTGACATTCATCCCAGCAGACGTCCTCAGATCTAACAGTGAAGCTCACCAGAGGACACGAGTGGGGGATTTTTAGTGCATTCGAAATTGTCTACAGGAGGCACCCACTTTGCCCAAAGGGAGGTGGGTGTGTGGCACAAGCTATCCAGGCACACTCTTGAAGCCGATACCCTGGCTTCTCCCAAGGCACGGCTGGATAGGATCCTCAGATTGATTGGCTCCTAAGTACTAGACAGGCTGGAATGCTCCCTTCCATTCCCTTTCTGTGACTTGAGGTTCTTACACTTGAGATTTAATTCTGCTCGTCCCCCCTGGCTTCAGAAGTGACAAAAGCAGCTGCAGGGTTTGGTTGGGGCCGGTCTGATTGCTCTTCTGCCAGGGTCCAGCTGCTTTTCTTGCAGGGCAGCAGCACACAGGTCCGACTCCTGTGTGCTGGGACCTCGTATCCGAGTTCCTCTGACCTTCTGCTCTGAGAAGAGAGGCTAGTGTGGGCAAAGCGAATGTGTGTCTGCCAGCATCTTGCTCCCTCTGTCTTGTTACAGCCGAGGCTTGAGGCTTGCCCAGCGATGGGGGGGACACCCTGGGGCTCCTGCAGACACTGGCACCCCTCGCCTTGCACAGGGTCCGCCCGCACAGAGAGGCAGCCGCTCGGGGGAAACCCCATCTCCTGTGTCGGGACGCGTCAGGTTGTTAGCGTGGTCTTCTGCAGCGGAGAGAGAAGTGGCTCTTCACCACCAGAACATGATTTTGACCGCAGCTGGTGCAGTTCTGACGCTACCTTGTGAATGTTGAGCTTTGAGCTTGTGATAAATTAATATTCAGAATACAAGAGAACTCCGAAAGCAGAACATATCTATTAATTATTGGGGTTGGTGAGAAAGACATGAGCTCAATTGCAGCTTAGCATGGCACTAGTCCATCACAGATCCCTGAGGTTGCGCACTTCAAGGGTTAAGTCATTTCAGCTCCTTTCTGGAAGGAGGTCCCAGCCACATTGTGATTATAACCCTGTGGGAACAGTTATTTTCAGGAACCTGATATTTTTCAGGCATAATTTCAAAAAATAAAAAAAACCCAAGATATGAAGGAGACTGGTGTTGAAACAGTCATTTGCAGTTATTTATAGAAGGGCTGAAGATTATAGGTTTGAGATTATCAAAGGGTTGAATGGGCTAAGTGTTCTAGGAGTTGTTTAGAAACGGAGCAGTTGGTTTAGACGAAAGGCGAGTGCGTGTCCATCACAGGTAAAGCAGAAGGGGGTGGGGACAGATGCCATTGGCCTGGAAGGAAGATAGCAGCTCTAAAGTGCTTGTATTCGGGTACTGATCACAGTAAGTTTCGGGCCGTTTGGGAATTTTCATAATTGAATAGGAACATATGAATCTGTAAGTGTTCAAAACATAAACCCTGTGTATTCTGTTGACATCAGGTTGGGTGTATAGTGTACCTGGCTGTGTGTAGAGCAGGAATATGAATGATGTTGCTAACCGGAGCTGCCGAGCAACAAGTTTTCCTTAATTAAAAGTCATGATCATTTCCATGATCACTCCTCCTGCAGTGTGTGACGCATTCATTGGGCCTGTATAGTGGGGTTATAGTGTGCATTTTTGCACTTTGCTGTCAGGCTG